TTTTTTTTTTTTTTTCGAGAATGACCCGAAAAAGAACGCTCTCACTACGCGCCTCGTTCTCCGTGAACCACTCGAGTTCACTTTGCACCTCCCATTCCATCTCACCCGTCGGAAGTGCTACGTCCAAATACACGTTTCTCTCTCCCTTCCCTCTGTCTGTCTCTTTTTGTCTTCCGTGAACTCTTAAGCGCACGTGCTCCTCGTAAAAACGGCCGCGATATTAGTTACACCTACGAGCCTTTAAAGTTCCTCCCAAAGGTTCGTATTCTCGGCGCTAAGTGTTGGTGTCCGTATACGATTCTCGTCACCTATTGACACTCCGAACGTCTTCCTCACACTGGACAAATAAAACTCAAGCGTGGACGACCGTTTAGCTTTAAAATATGCGTTAATAATACGAAGCCGTGGCCCCAAATCGATTTTTCAAACATTCCGTCTTTCGAATACTGATGCTTATCGGCGATCTTCCGTATTCAATCCTGACAAGTCTCCCGCTCGGAATTCCACGTCTTGCACGTTCCGCAGATCGATCGGATGAACGACAAGACTTGTCCATTGCCTGACGATCGTAGATGACGAGAGACGATGTTCCATTTCCCGGGTCGAGGAATTCACGCTTCACGTGGCTCTCCTCACTATACGAGGAATGCGTTAACGTACGCGCGAACTAAAGTGGGGAATCCTCTTAGGTTAGTCCAGGCTGATCCGCTTCCTCGAGCGATCCTCTCCAAAGGAAGTCGCGTCGCCTGAAAGCAAGATTGATAAAAACGAGAATGTTCTCACGACTCGACCTAATCAGTTTGCTCGGACAGGGATTAGCGCGCCTCTCACGCGCATCATTATTTTCGATCATGCGTGACAGGAAATTTATTTCCGAGGATAAACATTTTTCCCGAGAGGATCCGGATCCAATTAACCGCGCACCACACATTAAGTATCCAAGCCCGTCGTGTCAACAAATAGAAAGACAACATTCTTGTGCGGTGACAAGCGAGGAAGTGGGCGAAATTATTTCTAATTGAATACACTTTAATAAACGTATTCGTTATTCAAGAGACATCTAGATAGATTCTTCATAACTCTTAATTAAGCGAAGAGATCAAAGGATTGTATACTTACGTTTTAAACACACGTAGGAAAAAGCGATCGAGACTTTGTGGATGCTCTTCTGTCATTTTAATCGTTCTTCTCCGGTCGGCATTAATATCCCGAATACGATAAATACGCGCCCTTTTACAACTGATAGCAGGGTAGTTATTAATATACAAGTAAACGGAATTAGCTCAGAGTATTTGAGCAAGTCGACAGAGGGAGGACAAGGCTCGGAGCGAAAAGATGCTTTGATGCTGGCGGCGAGGGTCAAAACTCGCATAAAGGGCCAAAGATATACGCTCATGCTCTATCGTCGTATTATAAATTCTATCTCGGTGCCCCTCTCAAAACCACGATGACTTCCGACGAAAGATGTGGGGAACATACCGCTGGAACTAATTAAGCGTCCTTCTCGCTGACCCCGTAGCTTACTTTGCATTGATTTAAATTCTGTTCCAGGTTTTTAATTTTATTTTCATAATTGCCAGAAAGAGAACCAGAGAGAGAGAGAGAGAGAGAGAGAGAGAGAGAGAGAGAATTCCCAAGTATTTGTATTTGGACTTTTTAAAGAACCGAATTAAATATGTTTCCTGATCTTCTAAAAGAATGTATAACTTAACGAATTTACCATATCGTAATACCGATAAGTAAGACCGTAAGAAAAATAGAGCGAAAGAAGAAATCGAGAAACTTTCTGTTGAAATTCCAAGCCACTTTAGGAAAGACTAACGGCGGCGCTCTTTGATTTCGTTCTCGCCACTTCAAGCTAATTTCCATGCTTAAGAAGTCGTAATCCGATCATGACCGTCGAAATGAAGAAGTTTCGCTCACCCTTTGAGAATATCGACCTGCACTTGGCTGAAATTCGATAAAGTGCGACTCGCGAGAATTCAACGGATGGAGAAACATTCCCCGGTCTAGCTGTTTTTCAGCGGCGCGTTTCGATATCTTTCGATATTTCCGTGGGAGGTCAATCGTCGAGTCGGATTTCTGGCAGTAACGATTCTGAAATCGGATAGATTTTCGTCTCGCGCGTTTCGTCGGAATTTATTCTATGAATAGGAAAACGAGATGCAATGCGATCGCGCTTAATGGGAAAGCGAGAAACACAGAGGTCATTGGTCCATTGAGAGTAACGGTCTCTTCCTTCCACGAGTGTCCGTCGATCGTAGTCGAAGGCGAATGCTGGTGTTTCCATCGGGAGATCTCTTGCCGTTCTTTTCATCCAAAAAAATTTATTGTCCTGTTGCAGGCCGAGCTTGTTTCCTAATGTCACGAATGTCACGATCAATTGCAAGAAAAGGAGAAAGAAAAGAGAGAGAGAGAATCGACATTTAGAAAGTCTAATAAACATGAATGAAACAAATTTAGGGAAACACTGTTCTGTGTGTACTTTTATGTATAGGTAATGTCTCATTAAAAGTAAATTATTGAAGACCCAAAGGCATATACAAGAATTGTGACGGATTTCCGAGGACATCAGGAGAAAATCTACTGGTAATACATTTCAAACAGATGCGCCGAAAGATTTATCTCCACGAAGATAGAAACAGCTGATAATCTTAATTCCAGGCTTAATTCCCGGCGATCTTTAAATTCTCGATCGATTATAATTCGGTAACTTGTCGGAGCCTCGTCGGTACTTTCGATTGGGAAAAATTTATTGCAAATTGATAATAGAATTTGCGCTTGAAATATTGTTTGCAGTTTCGAATTAGTCTTATCGAATTGTCGATTGAACAATTGGTGATTACAGATATGTCATTTAAATGGCGAAAGCGAATCACGATATGGAGTTTAGTGAACTCTAGCGATATCCCAAGTAGAAAATTGGCCAGGAATTCTGGTTACTGACTAATTTCTACTATCTGGCCAGTCGAACGACGTTTATTTGGATAATAATTGGGCAGTAAAAACCAATTTTTTTAGCTCATTTCTTCCAGAAATTTTTACAAAATTTTAAAAAATGATGTAAAATCTTTTTTTTTATTATTTTTTATTAAAAATATTTAAATCCGTGACAACTTTTCTGGCCAGTCGAACGATGTTTATTTGGATAATAATTGGGCAGTAAAAACCAATTTTTTTTTAGCTCATTTCTTCCAAAAATTTTTACAAAATTTTTAAAAATGATGTAAAATCTTTTTTTTTAATGTCTTATTTTTTATTAAAAGTATTTAAATCCGTGAAAACTTTT